TTGTGTTAACCGAATAACAAGTATTTGTTTATTATTATTACATTCCCTTAATATTGTGTTATAGGTCGTTAAGATAGTTCCTTATTGCTCCATTGGGATCGTTCTGACGGTCTTAACTCTCCAGTGATATTTGATGCTATTGCTTAATAATCAATTGACGTGGTAGTCAATAGATAAGTCGGGAAAAGGGTCGGAAATGGCACCCATCACATCATCGTCATGACATTAATAGAAAATGTTTACCACTCCGCTTGGCCGAGGGGGGAAGGTTGGGGGGGGGGGTCAATAAATCGGCCCCCGTGTCGCGACGTAAGGCCGACGCACCCGCGTCTAAGTATTTCGACCGCGGGGTTTTTGGCCGCGTTTCTGCGTCTTCTCTCGCATGGGAGCAACGTTCCCTTTTGTGTTGCTCGTCCGTCGACTGACTAGTGCGCGCGTTCTACCGTTGTTGCCCGCAAAGTTATGATAAATCATTGCCGGGAAATGTGCATATTTCCTAGGACATACTAGTATGACCCAGTCGTATTTTAGATTTATCAAAATAGTCTGATTATTATTAGGAAATATCCGAAAATATTTGCAAAAGAGCAAAGGTTTCTATTTTGTATAGGTAGTTTTATTTCAGCTAAGGCGGCATTGGAAAATGAGAGCTTTTAAATTTATACATGTGTTTCAGTAAGTTTATTATATCAAGAAAATTAATTTCAGGGTAAAGCGAATAAGATAAGCACTAAAAGGACCAAGTTTATTTGAGATGACAGTTTTTGTTCAAATCATAGCCCTAGACAAATTTTTGTTACAACCATCGAAGTTCGGTCAGGTCTTGGGCAGCTTTTTTTTTTTTTTTTTAATCAAGAAACAATATATTATTTATAAATTTAAAATTATTCTGGTTGTAACAAAGATTTTTTGGTCAAATTCAAAATGCACAAATTAGAAAAAACTTTGCGATTCTTAACCTATTTTTTAATTTTTGGGATATTCTTCATTTTGAGTTCATAATTCGGATAAATACGGTCGTTAAACTGTTACGACAAGGCGACTTTCAGATCAAATCGTTGTCACACATCAATGCCTCGGAGACTTAATATGGCGCCTGCAGATAGGAATCGTGTTTACCCGCAATGTATGTATATATATATATATATATATATATATATATATATATATATATATATATATATATATATATATATATATATATATATATATATATATATATATATATATATATATATATATATATATATATATATATATATATATATATACATATATATATATATACATATATATATATATATACATATATATATATACATATATATATATATATACATATATATATATATATATACATATATATATATATACATATATATATATATACATATATATATATATATATACATATATATATATATACATATATATATATATATATATATATATATATATATATATATATATATATATATATATATATATATATATATATATATATATATATATATATATATATATATATATATATGAATTTATATAATAAATGTGGCAGGGCCCATTAGATTTTCATAACGCTTTAAGGCAAGCGCTTAAACATATAAATTCAGCAGGCTGTCGCTTTAGCAGTATGTAAACCTTAGAGGAACGAGTGCTTATGAAACCCATATATTACAGTAAGGAAACTAATTAAAAATTACCTTCAGCTAGAGAAATAAAAATTCATAAGCAATGTTTTATTCGCAATATAATGCAAGTCATTTCTGCGAAAAGCTATCCAGAGAGAAAAGAGAAAAATCTGTGAAATCACACAGCCCACAGATTTCATGCAAGATTTCCCGAAGATTCCACCGGATATCACCAATTTTGGAAAATAATTTTTGGGTTATGTGGAAAATGTTTGCATTCCGTCATATTTTAAAAGAAAAAGTAAAAATTATAAATAACAAAATACATTTAAAACCTTACAAACTTACAAACTGGAAAGTAAAGACCGCACAAAATATTTTGGTAGAGTTAAATCGAGCATCATGAAGTCTGTAACCACCTTGGCGTTGCAAAACCTTAAAGAGCCTCCAACATTGACTTTATCAAATGTACTGGGTGTGCCAAATTTAAGTTGAATATGAGGAGGTTTGTAATCGCTCTTGTAGACTATCTTACATTTAAACAATTGAAAGGTTAGTTTCGAAACTAGAAGGTACGTACTTGTCTAAGTAGATATTTGGTTATATCTAACATTGCCACAAACCCATGTTACGTGAGATTAGGATAAAATAGGTTAATAGAAAAAGTTAAGCTTCAACTTCGCCTGTTGTGATTTTATATTACAATATAGTCATTAATATTATTGTTATTAATTTCAAAATTGTATAGAAGAATATACGTCATAAAACTGCGACCCCCAATCGTAAAAAATTGTGTCTTTTAAGCTATTGAAGTCCTCCGACAAAAAAACAGAATCACCCTGGTAAACTACCGCAACGAAATACGCAGTTGAAGATAACGCCTTGTAATTTAATTAGGACACGGGCGGAAGGTTTTTCGTTAAAGGACGAACGCACAAAATTAATCATTCAAAATAGTGGGGTTTACTAGGCTTTCTTTGGCACTACATCGCGTGGACTATCCACAATATTAATAACAAATATCCATAAAAAAAGCTTTTACCGATTATTTGAATAATATGGCAATTAAACTAATGCCGCGTAGATATTTAAATGCAAGATTAAAAGAGTGGGTAACTCAGGGAATCAAAATATTTGCTTTTAATCCCAGTTGTCATAGTTCACTCAGTGACTATGTAACACAACTTCTCCAGGCAAATTATACTCGCGATGAAAGTGACGTTTATAAAACTTATACTACTATTTAAACATTTGTTTTAATCGAAATGAATTTGCACGAATTTTTTTCGCAAAACGCGGCCTTTGAACGACAAAAAAGAAACAAAAGCTCCCCAAATTAAAAGCGAAGGTCGTCAGCGCGCCAAATAGCAGAATCGTTTTATTTATAGAAAACGCTTAGCGTCGATGACTGCGACCCGTTAATTAAATACGAGAAAACTGATTTTTTTTTCAGGTGTTATGGCTCGCGCGTTTCACATTTTTCGGAGGGCATAATAGATAGAGGGTTATCTTTTATATTTGCGTATGCATATACAGAGGTTAACGGATGTCAACGAGAAAAACTTTTAATAAAATAGTTGAATAATTTTTGCAGTATTACTTTTTAGGCTTGTAAAAGAAAACGAATGCGCGTCGTAAAGTTGAGAAACACTAGCAACTTTTAATTTTTAAACACCCTATATATTTTCTGTTAACGAAGAAAGATCTTTTGCTTTCTGAGCCGTTCTTGAATTATTTAAGTTTACATTTTTGATTAACTAAACGCATAACGATCGAGTTGACCAGGCGTTCAGTGTGACATATTGCGTCGGAACAATCCGTTTGGAAAACGGTTTACCCAGAGGAAGAAAAGCTTCAAGTGACTCGTCATTTTTATGCCAACAACAATAGAATAGCTGCAGTTCAACGGCAATATGGTCTTATTAATTCCGGGCGGCGGATATCGTCAGCTGACACAATCAAACGCATTATCCGGCAAATTAATAAAACCAAAAGTCTCAGTCGAAAAAATATTTTGCTCTCTTTTCAAGGCAGCTATACTTTTATACTTTAAAAATAAAATTCTTAAAACTATTTAGGAAATCCAGAAAGTCCAATCCCAATTGTTTCCGCACCATTGGGAATGTTATATTACACTTTAAAATATTATAAATATCGCCCCTACAAATTTATTTCAGTTTAAGGTCTATCTGCACGGAAAAAACAAATTCTCAATTGCAATATTTTCTACTCGATTTAAATTTAAATATTTTTAAATTAAGGACACCAGTTTAAATGAAGAATTTCAATATGCTTGAAAAAGGAATCTGATATTTTCAAACCATATTTTCAATTGTATTAAATAGTCTTTGTATCATTTGTTACTAAAAAAGGGTTAAACTGTATTCCCTTTTTTTTTGTAATATTTACTATAAATATCTGCTTCGGCTTACCATCTTAATAAAATGTGTTATTTATCACTGGTCTTTAACAATGGTAGAAATTTATTTTTGTCATAATTATTGATTACTAATACCTTTGCTACTATTTGTTAAAAATAATCAAAATTCATTGGTCAATAAATAACATATTTTAGGAAAAAGACAGGCTGGAAAGATGTTTATATTTTTTGCATGTGTCTTCCTATCTCCCGTAACAAAGGTCTTCAATTGGTAGAATGGTCTAAACAAAATTATATAAAAATTTACTTTAAAAATATATCATACGAAACAGGTATAACTTATTGGATGAAATTGACATAATGGTTGATTTACAGAAACTACCTGAATATTTTTATATATCTTACCAATTCGAAACTAGCAAAAATTCAATATAAAATTATACTCATTTAAATAAAGTAACTTTATATGCTTAATTCAAGTTGCTACATAAATACCTAAAATATTAAAATAAAAGTATTTCATTTTGTTAAAATAAACTTAAGATATGAAGAATTTGCCGTATTCTTGATTATATGCAAAGCTTACTTATCTTATGCTGAAATTGAGCTTAACTTACTTGAACCGAGTACTTTGTTTTTCCGTCTAACAGAAATAAAATTCAACGGTTACAATATTGTCAAGAAATGTCGAAGCATATAACAGAGAATCGTAACTAACCAAAAACTTGAATATAAACGGCTTATTTAATCTATATATTATTGAAATCAGGAGAAAAATATCTTTGGTCGAAACAGAAAATATATACGGTGTTCCCTGTAAAAACAAAAAATTTGCTACTGTTTCTCAACTTTGCAATATGCATTTTTTTCTTTTACAAGTGTAAAAGATAATACTGCATTAATTGTACAACTTTTGCATTAGACGTTTTTCTCGGTGACTTCCCCATTAACCCTGCACAAATGTTTAAGCAAGTTTGTACACGACTTACCTCCGGTCCCAAGAACCTTGAGCAAATCAAAATGGGACATATCCACTCGGTCCGCTCCAGACAGATTGACTGAAACAAAAAAGAAATTTAGGACGCTTGTCCTTGGGTTTGTGCACAAATGCTGCGAAATAAATTGATAGCGGGCAAAGTGTGACGAACTTCGTACCACGCGAAGCATTAATTAGTTTATTTATTTATAAAAACCGATTGTATATTATTTGTTAACATTAAGGTTTAATTTGTTTATATCGCACCAGGTAACAAGTTAAGGTTTTCCTGCAATAAATTTGACTTAGACATATGCTTGTGCCACAGTAGATATTTATAAGACTTGTGCCAAGTTAACGATATCATTTATCAATTTTATTTGGGACGTTTTTTTTTAGAATTTTAAAGATATTTTGAAAAAAACTTTTCGGAATTAACAGTGTAAACTCGTGAGGAATTGTCTTCCTTATTCATATAAGGAAAGCTTTGGCCTTGCTTTCATAGTCCATATAAAAGCAACACCAACCGTTTGCCAATAGAGGTCATTCGTATACCGGAAGTTTTCAAATCATTTATTGATATACATATATTATTATACACAAGATTCAAACATTAGTAAATACTGTAAAATCTCAATTATCCGTCCACCAGGCGTCCGGTATTTTAGTCACGGGTTTGGGTTGGGTAGATTTTATATTTTCGCTGATGGTATTTTAACGTTTGACGGTTCTTTTGATCCAGTCACACGTCCCTCGCTAAATGTATTCGTGATATTTTGCAAATGTACCCATAAAATCAGTAGTCGTAGGAAAAGTATAGTACACAGCATCCTTTGTACCCAAGTTAAATAATTTTTGGGGGTTAATTAGAAAATCGAGAGGTTAAGCGGCGAGGAATTTCCACAGCAGTGCGGGTTCCCTACCATAAATCGATGAAATACGATACAATTACAATCGACGGTAATTTGCATATATCGATAAACATCCAGAGAAAAAATATACAACGCGGGCATGTCGGGAAAATTCATCCCAGACGCGACAGGGTGCCTTGCGAACGCTCAATTTTGGGGGGTCAACGTTTTCGACGTCTGGCTCGTTTTAACAACCCTACGCTTCGCTTTCAACCCTTCTTGCTCCGCCAAAGTCGCGCGTACATATACGAGTTCAAATACCCCTCGAAAAAGCGTATAGAATAAAACCGGATGAAACACAGGGAGTTTTGCATCTAAAGAATTAATTTAAACAGAAAAGAAAATTATCTATCTAGGCATAACGAAAAAAAAATGTTATGCTCGAATTTTAATGTGTGTCTAAACCATAAATTTTTCACAGGTATGTGACACACGAAAGGTAAATTAAGCATGAAAACTAGTGCTCCAGCTGTATTAAATCAGTGAAATCAGTGAAATATTTGTATTATCTGCGAAATATTTAAGAAACTTGCGAAATGTGGGTAAAATCATAAAGTATTTATAAGATTTTGGTGGGGTTGTTAGCACTTTTCACTAATTAAAAAGTCATTTAATTATAAACAACGTATATAATTTTTGTTATTACATCGTAAATTAATTTTATAAATCTAAAGGGAAAGAAAAAACGACGAAACATTTTTTTCAATGCCACTGCTTGAGACGCGCAATTCAAATTTATTTATCAAAACCATTGAAGTGCGTCAAATATTCCGTGAAATCAGGGAAATTTTATTGGTAGTTGTGTGAAATATGGTGTTCCAATTTTGGAATTTAAAATAGTCAGTTATTAAATAGAAGGTAAATATTTAGTTTGTGCTTAAAAAATTGATTCATTTTATTTGGATTTGAAATAATCAATTCGCGAGGCTTAAAATTGATTTTTAATATAATCAGCCAATTTTGACAAATATAATTAGTTACTTTTACTAGTTATGTGAACTAAAGCCTCTTTTGAGGATCAAATTTCCAGAAATTACAAACATACACATGTTCAAAGTTGGTTAAGCCGGAAGTGCAATTTTTTTTCAAGGTCGAATATTTCAAAACCTTACAAATAGGTATTGGACATTGTACATAAAAGTAGTATCTACTATACTTTAGAAACCCCCACTCCCCCTTTGGAGGTGATGAAATAAGTTTTGATATGATAAGTACAAGACTTGCCTCGTTTTTTTAAGGAGGGTCAAAGCGGTGCGAGGTGACCTTTCATATATGAAACAGACCAGTCATGGGGACACGAGATATGGAAAGTTTAAGCGTAGTCGTCGCCACATTGCTGCCAACACGGCATATATAAGGAATCACGAACCATTCAGGTAAAATTTTGAAAAAACATATTTATGGCAATATAGAACCTCTCTTTTTGTTTAACAGGAATATTGAGACGTAGAAGACGTAGACGGAGAAGCTTCAGTCGGGTACCATCGGTAACGTAGGCCATTAATATATTTCCACAACTACATAAGTTGGATTGGAATTTCCCATTTGATGGTTTGACTGACTTTGAGAAAACTTACGGAATGCTATGGAAATATGTTTAGGAACATATTGTTGAATTACTCTGTCTTCCACTCAGTTTCACATAAACTTTGCACGTATTATAGAAATGCCACCTATTTTTTTTTGTTAATAGTAGTGAAAGTAGTAGGTGGTAGCTGAATTCGTAGGCCCAGAGGGTGTCTGTTTTGAACTTAATACACAAAATGGGCGTTCAATAACTCTGATTGCTTAGACTGCATGGCTTTTAGAGTGGGAGTAAACTATGGTCATATACCCCTGATCAAATTCAGAACTAGAAAATCGTTGTGTCTCTGCATTAAAAATAATAGTAAAATTTATTGTAGGCACCTAGTAGAGTCTCGAAAATTTCCATCTTTAGTGCCAAATTGGTTACTCCAGTAAGTTCCAATTGTTCTAATTTTTTAAAATAATTTATGATGTTAGTGAGTTTCATTTCAATTATTTGTTACTTAAATTTTCTGCGTATTAAACCTTACTTAACAATACGCTATTCGTTATCGCAGGTAGAATTAATGACACTGACTAACCTGATTTTGTCCAAGGGGGGCGTAGTACGGTAGTTTGTACTGTGATGTTTGGTAGTGAGCTCTCATTTATAAAACTAGGAAAAGTTTGGATATCTTCAAATCGTAAACAAGTATCATTAGAATTATATTTTTAAAATATTGATTAGGACATGTACTGAGTAACTAAATGCTCTAGCAAAAATATTCACACACATTGCGGAAAACGTATAACTTTATATTAGAGAAAAATAACTATTTTTAGAGATTGATTTTTCAAAAAGGTGGGGATTTAGTTAAAGAACAGATATAGACTAAAGAGAAAAGTTACAATTAAAACATCGATGTTTTCATGTCATAGCGAAAGATGGATTATTAACAAAAATAATACTTGCATTAATTGTTGTCACCATTTGTAAAAAATATGGAAAATATCCTCTAGGTTCGCATACCTTTTTGTAATTTTTTTAAGGCGGCTAACAAAATACACAGACAGAAAAGTTCAGATACTGTACGTAGTTAGTACAGAATATTAATCTGAAGGCTGCAAGACAGTGAAAGAGTGATGCGCTTAAGTGTGGTTCAGAGAGGTTATTTGGGCTGTAGAAGTTTTTCTTTGAACGGGGTTCAAATAGCGTCTCCTAGAGCGTTAGCAGAGAAGAGTATTACAGTATTTAGTATAAGCGTCCAGAGATTGCCATAGAAACACACTTTGATGTAGTAGTAGCAGCAGCTTTAAAGTATATGACTTTTTAGTTAAGATGCCTTTCGAGTTTGCTACATGGGTTGATAGGGTAGATACAGGGTAGATACAGATAAGTTACGAAAAAAAAAGTATGTACACTATCCTCAAAGATCATCAATAAATAAAACAAAAAGTAAAGTTGACTGCGATATCTTAAAATCATCAATAGGATAGATAAATTAATTTTGAAAATATTAAATAATAAAAACAAATAATAAAATAGCAAAGAAAATCTAAATCATCAATAAGATAGATAAATTAATTTTGTAAATATTAAATAATAAAAATAAAATTACAATAGCAAAGAAAACCTACCACGGCCACATACACATAATATTTTTGACATATGAACTTTTGCCAGATAAATAGTCAAATATTTCACGATACCTTAAACAGAAGAATGCGTATGAAGTTAACGCACGTATATGGATTCTAATATCCTAATTTATTAATGAAAATTTTAACCAGGTTTTTGTTTTGCAGATATTATTGGTGGTGCCAGCCAGCTTCCAGTTCCGAAAAAATAAATCCAACACTTTTCGTCTTTATTTCCCCTGACCTTTGTGCGCAATAGTAAAAAGTACAGTTTGTACCCGCGAGGGTAACATTCGCAGAACTATATATTTTTCAAATAAATGTTTTGGTCAATATTCACTAGGTGGGGTTACCTTATTAAAGAAAATCTTACTCCAAGAGGGGACACTAGTTTACATTCGAACCGCTAGAGGGTGCAGATGGTCACGCGAACAATGTGATCAAGTCTCATTGACGTCATTGCTTTTCTTACGGGTGGGAAAATATCTGGGCTCTGATTGGCTTCGCCGCCATCGCAAACTAGAGGAGGGGGATTGATTAAACCCCATATTTCTGGTTGCTTATCCAATGGGGGCCAGTTTCAAGGGATTATGGGTAAAGGGGGAGGAGCTAGAGAGTCGTGGGGAAGGAGGCCAGGCCCACAAAAAGGGAGAGGAGTGCGGGTGGCCTATAGTGTACCTATATACTACTCATAAAATATGTTTACAATTTCACATAGAATCTTCTCAAAACGTAATAATATCGGGACTATTTGTAATAAGCAAGTTGACAGCAACTTCCGGTTGAACCGGAAGTGACAAGACGTTTGAAAATATTCTATAACAAAAGCACACTCGGCACTTACCTTAGTCCCAAAAATTGAAAGACGTTTCTAATATCGCATCTCATCTCATCTTAATGAACTTTTAATGAACGAGTTGAGAGAAAAATCCTGTATATAACTCTTTTGAGAATTGAGGAATTCGAACCGAAAGTATAATACAGGGTCGTATTAGGTAGTAGTGCCCCCTACAATTCAAATATCACA